TGAAATGTTCGCTGTATATGTAGGCTTATATGCTGATGTCAAATATGTAATTATTTTTACAGGAAGTTGCACAGTTTTTGTTTTATGCCATGCCAATTGTTAAAGTGCAGCTCTTTTTGGGAAAACTTTTTCTTCCACTAAATTTTTATGGTTCTGAGTCATTAATGGCTCATATTGCTCTATAATAACTGTAGAATGGAAATAAGTATAGAGAAAGTGAATATAAGACATTTTAATGGACAAGAAAAATTGTAATATAAAACTTCTTAGAATTGTCAGCCCATGCTAATTGTTTGCTTTAGGCTCGTAATAATTATACTGGCGACAACAAGTTTTAAAGGATATACTTGCACCCTTCACATGTTAAAGAATGTGGGCAAAATTTCACTCTGATCTGGCTCTCAGAAGTACTGAAAACATGATTTTCAAGCTCAAGAAACTTTCTCTAAAATGGATCTTGAGAAAAATGCGTTTTATAGGTTTAAGTGAAAACTCATCTATGCGGAATAGGTATGTTTTTTAAGATGACTTCTTCAATAATGAGAGCTTGGCAATCATGGTTATTTGGAGCATGTGGCTTTAGTGAACTTCTTTAGCAATTATTGTGTGAAATGCAATGGCAAATAGCCAAGGTACGATTTCCAGGACACTCTAGATGATGAGCTCTTTTTAATTTTAGTAGCCGCCTTGTGGTATTTATGAGCGATTTTAACCTACTTTGAATCTAATTACTATTTTAAGATTTTTGTCTTGAAAGTAGAGAAGCTGGACTTGGTTAAAGCAAATAAAACGAAAAATATGTAATTTTTGAGAAAAAAACTTCCATTTTTCGATTCTCATTTTCCCTTAAAGGGGCCCAAAGCACTCTTTTAAGTAGCCATGGAATGCATTCACTAAAGGGGCTTATTGCCTCACGAAATAAATGCAAGAAATAATTTTTAGAATCCGTCCAGTGCGAGTGGAGTTACAAAGATTTGTTGCACGCTGCAGTGGCATTCTTTCCTTTCTTGTCTTGAAGAAAGTGCTGGAAGCTGAGCAGGGAGGGATGGCACCTCGTCACCTTGAGCGCACTTTTTTCTTCGAATGTCCAGTTTCTCAGTGCCATCGCGCGCGTACACGGGGAAAAGTCGCGGCCTTTCACGCCGGTCCCAATAACGACCGAGCGCGCCATGCACGGATTAGCCAATGGCTTGTACTAGGCATGGGATGTAGTGATCTTGAGCCTGTACTATGATTTGTTGAGAGAAGAGAAAGCGTTTTTCACTGACTGAGAATTTATCGCAAGTTACAGGCCGTGTGCTGCGCTAATACATTTGGCGCGTGTTCTCGGGAGCCTCGACTACTGATTGGCAGCGTTTTTTTACCATGCTCAAAAAGTGTTGTAGAGCCCGTAGAGTTTCCTAATATACACTGGAGGGAACTCTGGCGCTAGTGTTTATGGGAGCCGCAACGCACGTGGCTTCAGCGAGCATGGGAATGATGGATAGTACACAGATTTGTCTATTTTTCGTACTTCTGGCCTGCTTCTGGCTCCGTGTGTGTTCGTGTGGCTTGGAGCTGTTTTCTCACGAAACAACTATCGGCAAATGTTCAGTGGTTGTGTTTCATCTCCTTATTATTTCAGGCTTACCATTTCGAATTGGATCACGAAGTGCAAAAGGGTTTGTTCTTTCCTTCAAAACGAAATCGTAACCAGTGAAAAAGGGTTTATTGACGACTGTTGCGACGGTGGTCCTACGAAGAAACACGATCGTGCAAGAGCAACGGTCAAGCAGATGCCGGCGATGATCAGCACGAGCCGAGCGAGCCAAGCCCAGCACCCAGTACCCAAGCGGTGGCGATGTTGCTTGCCAACGACGCTCTTTCTTCTTCACAATTTGCCCCCGCCGAAAAAGAGCCATCCTGGCGACCTAAGAGTCTGGAGGCAGAGGGCGATAATATGGCTTAAGGCGGGCGACGTGGACGATGTCACGTCCACGCCGGCGCATGTCGTCAGATGGGGAAAGTGGCTCGATGAGAAAATTCACCGGCGAGGTTTGCTCCAAAACGCGGTATGGGCCCTCGTACTTTGGAACGAGTTTTGAGGAAATGCCGGGGGTTTGGTAAGGAACAGCCAGCCATACAAGTGATCCCGGGGAATAGCTGGGGCTTTGGGAAGAGTCGACGTTGTTTTCTTTCTGGCGCTGTTGTTCTCGAGACGTAAAGGTGCGTGCGAGTTCACGGCACTCTTCCGCATTTCGGGCAGCTTCGTACACAGATGGGCATTCGGATGCGTCAGGACTGTATGGAAGGAGAGTATCGATGGTGTGGGATGGTTCGCGTCCATAAAGAAGAAAGAAAGGTGAAAATCTAGTGGTAGACTGTGCCGCGGTGTTATATGCGAACGTAATGAATGGAAGAATGCGATCCCAGTTAGTATGATCGGATGTCACATACATGGCGAGCATATCGCCAAGGGTGCGGTTAAATCTTTCCGTGAGCCCGTTAGTCTGCGGGTGGTATGCCGTGGTCTTGCGATGAACAACATGGCATTCAGAAAGCAGAGACGTGACGACTTCTGATAGGAAGGCTCGACCTCGATCGCTTAGTAGTTCTCGAGGTGCACCATGTCGTAATATGAAGCGATGAAGGATGCTACGTCCCGCGCAGTGGCACTTGGAAGGGCGGCGGTCTCAGCGTAGCGTGTTAAATGGTTCACAGCGACTATAATCCACCGATTTTCATCTGATGTTGTCGGTAGAGGGCCATAGAGATCAATTCCGATCCGATCGAAAGGTTTGGCAGGGCACGGAAGCGGTTGAAGCGCACCGGACGAGTGGAAAGGCGGTGATTTGCGACGTTGACAGTCAGGACAGCCCATAACAAATTTTCGAACGAAATTATACATTCCGCGCCAGTAGAAGCGATGGCGAATGCATTCGTAAGTTTTGAAAACTCCGGCATGACCACATTGGGGATCGTCGTGAAAGGAGGCGCAGATTTGTGATCGCAAGCTGCGCGGGACAACCAAGAGCCACTTACGACCTTCGGGGGCGTAGTTGCGTCGGTGTAGTAGCCGATCACGAATGGCGAAATGAGCAGCTTGACGCGCCAAGCACTCTTTTTCAGTGACGCTGTAATTGGCCTCAGCTTTAGTAAGTGTGCGACTCGCATAAGCGACGACGTATTCGGAGTAGCCCGGCTTGCGTTGGGCGAGGACGGCGCCTAGACCAACCCCACTAGCGTCTGTGTGAACTTCCGTTGCAGCTGTTGGGTCGAAATGCCGAAGAAATTGGAGGAGATGTTAGCAGACTACGGAGCGTGGCAAACGCGACGTCGCAGTCAGAAGACCAGGATGAAAGGTCTGCATCACCGCGTAGGAGGTTGGTCAGTGGTGACATGATCGACGCAAAATTTCGCACGAAGCGCCGGAAGTACGAGCATAGTCCGACAAAACTGCGTAATTCTTTCAGTGTAGTAGGTTTCGGGAACTCAGCGACTGCTCGCAGTTTTGCAGGGTCGGGTCGAACACCATGCTTGGAGACGATGTGCCCTAAGATGGACAGCTCTCGCGCGGCGAAGCGGCACTTTTTAAGGTTCAGTTGGAGCCCAGTGTTGGTTAAACACGTCAGAACCAGTTGGAGCCGAAGCAGATGCGTAGGAAAATCGGGAGAGAAAACGACAATGTCGTCGAGGTAGCATAGACACACAGACCACTTCAGTCCACGCAGTGTGTTGTCCATGAGCCGTTCAAACGTGGCAGGAGCATTACAAAGACCAAATGGCATTACGTTAAATTCGTACAGGCCATCTGGTGTAATGAACGCAGTTTTCTGGCGATCAGCTTCTGCCATAGGAACCTGCCAGTATCCAGATCGTAAGTCTAAGGAGGAGAAGAATTCGGCTCCTTGTAGGCCGTCAAGGGCGTCGTCTATGCGCGGTAATGGATAGACGTCTTTCCGCGTCACCTTGTTTAATCGCCGGTAGTCGACGCAAAATCGAATGGATCCATCTTTTTTTCGAACTAGAACGACAGGAGATGCCCAAGGACTGTGCGATGGTCGAATAACGCGACGGCGTAGCATCTCTTCGACCTGGTCGTTGATGACGTGACGTTCTGCAGCAGAGACACGGTAGGGTCTTTGACGCAATGGCTGGTGCGAACCGGTGTCCTCACGCACGACAAGTTTTGGCGACCGCTCAAGGGTTTCATGCAAAGGTTCGTCACACAGGTGCGAAAATTGAACTTCAGCGCGTGCGCAGTCGATGGTGGCGATGTTGCTTGCCAACGACGCTCTTTCTTCTTCACACCAGCAATAAATGAAGCCGCAAGTATGATTCGCCGCCCGCAAGTACGAAGACTAGGCAAATCTGTGTACTACCCATCATTCCCATGGTCGCTGAACAATCCAGCGGCAGAGTACCCTCTTGTTAATTTTAGGAAACTCTATGGCAGGGCCTCTTTGAGTGTGTAGTAAAGAACGTAATGTAGACATTCAGAAAGTAAAAGTGCACGAAAAGACAACTTGCTGCTGCCATGGACCGAACTTGCAACCTTTAGTCAGCTGTCCGCTTATTTATAAAGATTGTGTGCACAGGCTTGCTCCTGCAGCACATTGCTGGTATAAAATAAGTGTTCCATGCTTGCCATCGTGGCTATAGGTGCCACTAACAATCCCAAGTTTGCCGGCAAATAAACACCCGTTAAGTTAGCCGAGAGGGCGACTGCCACCGCAGCTCAATTGGTAGAGCATCGGGCACTTTCCTTGGTCCCTGCCCCTGATAAGCTTTTCGTCTACTTTTCTTTCGTCACATTTATATTGTAATTACGGCAGTACAGTTAAAGCCGTACAATTGATGTGCCCCATATCTTCCTTGGCCTCATTAGTTGCTGGTTTTCATTGAGGCCATTAATTAAAGAGAGCAAGTGTCTTTTGCAGGTGTCGTTGAGGTTCAACAATGTCACGATAAAAATTTTGGCTGCCATAATGAGTGTTTTACTGTGGTGGTGGTCCTTTCAGAAGAACTCTGATGCCCCCCACCATCATGCACGGTCTGACGAGCACCGGCTTGGATCCCATCGCCGATCAGGAGGAAGCGTGCGGTCTGGTTTCCACAGTGATGGCTTCCGGGAAAGAGACCCTGGTGAGAAATGCTGCTTCATTCGTTCGAAGGAAATAGTTTCTAGCACTTCAGAGGGGAGCTCTGGACATTTTCTGAAAGGCACAGTACGCCCCTGGCTTTGAAAGCCTATTTGCAGTTGAACTCCTTTATAAGAGACATATAGGTAACAGAGGCACCAGTGTGCCTACACTCAAACAAAGGTTGATAAGAAAATGCATACGTCGTACCCTGCCTATAAGAGATGCCTCGTATAAATTATGACAATTGCTTCCCAGTGCATGTCTGTTTTAATGGCATTCAACTATACGGGTGAATCTTTTCTAATGAAAAGTTGCATTGCACTGCTATGTCCAAGGGTGCAGAATTAGTTTCTCACCACCATCGCCATGTCTCCAAGGAACAAAAGCAAAAAACGGCTGTTCACTTTCATGTACGGCGAAGAATCCCAGATGGCCAAGATCATTCTGGGGCTCCAGATTATGCTGCACATCATTATCAGATCGTGGTTCTGGAATGTAAAGACCCCAAATATTTTTTTCCAAGGAAAGCTTGCTTGGTGCATACACCTGGTAGAGTGAGGGCTTAGTATGGTGTATGAGAATGGGGCACTGTGTCTTCTGGCTCCGAAAGCATGTCTCGTTTTGCGATGCCGGCCAGCACTGCCGGAGCACTCCGTACTACTGCAGCGCCCGTGTACCCCCCCCCCCCCCCTCCCATGTAGTTTATCAAGAGCTGAGATACAAAGCCTTTGAGATCGGTAGTCGTAGTTGCCGCACTGGTCGCAAAATGTATAAAATTTTTAGAAAAAATGTAAAAAGAAGTAAAGCAGTATTCGTCATTGAGCATTTAGCATCGTGGCTTCTTACTCTTCTGGCTCATGCTAATTAGGGGTGGTCGTGGAACTCGCGTGATGATGTTTACGTTATCCTTTCGGACCTCCTCATTCATTTCGTCGCAAATACTCATTGGTCTGACAGCTAGGCAGGCGTATATATGCATGGAATGAACAGCAAAGTGCTTTTTATCCCTTCTGCAGGTAAAACAGTAACCAAGCAGACTATCTGTCTGGGTCCCTGTTCTGGAATAGAAATGTGCGCACCATAGTATAGGAATGTGCACTGGGCATACCGTTTGATAGTGGCGCCCTACTGGTGGCGTCATTGCAAAAGCCATCACCGCTCGCCCATTTGTTTGTTGCCCCGCCGCGGTGGTCTAGTGCCTAAGGTACTCAGCTGCTGACTCGCAGGTCGCGGGTTCGAATCCCGGCTGCGGCGGCTGCATTTCCGATGGAGGCGGGAATGTTGTAGGCCCGTGTGCTCAGATTTGGGTGCACGTTAAAGAACCCCAGGTGGTCGAAATTTCCGGAGCCCTCCACTACGGCGTCTCTCATAATCATATAGTGGTTTTGGGATGTTAAACCCCACGTATCAATCAATCCCATTGGTTTGCTGTGGAGGCGGCACACTGCCTCATTCTAGTATACCATAGCATTAGTGCAGTGAAAGCTGAGCATTATCATAATGAAGTCACGTTGAAGGCAGAAATATTTTTTTTAGCATACAGTAATATCTCCCTAACCCGAACTTGCATATGTCGAAAAATTAGCCAAGTTGAAATTTTCTGCGGCACTGCACATTTTCCTATGTGTCCCCTGTATGCTCTTCACTTTATTTCGGAGTATTTTCGGGTTGGATATCGGATAACTCGAAATCTTGGTTTGGAGTAGAACTAAAATTTCGCCTTCAGACCATTCAATAAGATTCGCGTGATGCTGCCACACCTGAGGTCTGTTCATTAGTTTTCTTATTTAGTCGTGCCTGCCGCTATGTCGATGCTTTCCGGGAAGGCGAAGTGCGGGAAGTCTCAGCCCAGTGACATATCAACTCTGTCAAGCAATTATGTGGCACGCCATGTGACACATGCGCTGAGCAGGGAGGCCCTCAGCGTGAAACTTTAAAACAGAACATTGATATTGATATTCTCGTCAAATAATAGATTTGTGATGGTGAAATGAATGATAATGGAGGTTTCAGAGTGCACTTGATCGACCTAAACTAATTCGGGGCATCACTTTAATGTCCTTTAAACTCGTGCATTTCTCTACTCCACCCAAATCCACAACGAATGGCAGGTGGCCGCCAGTCCCCCCTGGGCGACAGTCGTGGTGTGCCGTTCTCATCGAGGCATGCTTCGGCGGATGCTGAGGACCGTCTCTTCCACCACTCGGTGCCGAGCAGCGGCGTGCACAAGGTGGCGCAGCCACCGCGTCGTCCGCACAGTCGGCACGAATTCCGCGACTTCCTCCAGCCATCGTACCACAAGGTGAGAGGCTGGGCATCTCTGCTGGTTTCTCTGTGTGCCGTAATCGAAACGCCCTTTCTGTGTGTGTGTTATTCTATCGTGTGTGTGTGTGTGTGTGTTTAAATTAATTTTGTGTTTTCTTTTTCTCTATCCTAGTCAATTATTTCGCAACCCTAGTGCTGGGGTGCGAACCGGATGCTGATATCTGGATAACCTCTCAATCTTCCTCTTCGTCTATCTTTTTACCAATCGTAGTAGCGTGTGTCAAGGCGTGCTGTGATATCACTCGGTGATAGTCGTATGAAAGATGACTCGAGACTGGTGTCATTAGAGAGCACCAGAAAGAGGCACTAGAAGGCAGGTATCAGTTTTGCTTACAAAAATTTGCCTAATGCATTTTTAATATCTCCGAAGTTAACAAAATGTTAAGTTTACTACATGGCACAAAATTGAAATTTTTCTTGATTGCTATCCTGTTGCGTGCCTTTAATATTACGCGATTTTATTACGCCCTTACTCTGTGTCTGCGAGAGAGAAAAGAAACACAAATAACAAAGAAGTGGTGACGAGTGACTATACGCCCCAGTAAAGTGATGCCGCTGAAGCCCACTACAGCAAAACTGACGGGTCTTAATAAAACATTTCTTTGCCCCTGAGCACTGTCACATTCAACTACGCAGTTCACAAACATCACCTATTCCAAAAAAAATTCTGCTACCTTCGTTTGCCTTCTTCCTTTGGACGTTAGCATTGATGCCACTACCACGCTCTGTCAGCAGATGCGTTGCAACATCATTATTGTGGGTGCCGATGAAATTGTGAATAACATCAAATGTGTTCAAGCCCTGTGGTGCAGAAGACATCGACGGTGCGCCTTGTGTGTCACTGTCGTCAAACAACGATGCATCGTCATGGCAAACCTCTTTAGTTATTGCCATGCCTTCATGGGCAATAATGTCCGTGTTGGTGGTGATGTATTCATCTATGCCGACATGCGTTGGCACATTTTTGGTGGTTCAAAGGGCATTTAACATCCATCCTAGAATGTTACCCCCTAGAGTGTAAAACCATGTCAATATGCACCTGCACAAAACACAAGACAAGATATAACCATGCATTCATTAACCATGAAGTACCTCATAGCCTTTTCATTCTTTAGCCAACGTTGTGGTCGTACACTGGCGACAACACATGCCTACTTCTGTGTGTTTGTGCGAATTTGCATGGGCATAGCTTGATTTGGGGTAGTCTTGCGCACGCTGATTTTGCTCTGTGCCGCCTTGTGCTGCAGATGAGTCCTGGTGCCGTGCAGAGCAGCGACAACTGCGCCAGCGTTGCAGTGAGTGCCCAGGTGGGGGGTCCCACTGTCATGTCCCAACGCAGCAAGAAGAACCTTCCTGGCAACAACTTCAACCAGGAATTTGTGAGTGCTGTTGTTCTGCATGCCTTGTTTGCTCACCAGGCTACATACTTGATTCCCGGTTGATAAGATAAAATGCGAGAGTGTTGGTGTGAAAAAAAGAACTGAGGCAGCTTAGCATTAGTGGCAAGGTATATGTAAACTGGTAGCGTAACTTACATAGAAGACCATGGATCCATTAGTCAGCGGCTCGTTGCTACGTCGCCATCCACATAAAGAGGGGACAACTAGTAGCAAAAAAAAAATAAATAAAATACGGCGTCGCAAACGGAAGCGGTAGCGACGTCGCGCATTTGCCCTACATGGTGCGAAATTGAAATTTTTCTTGATTGCTAACCTGCTACGTGCCTTTAATATTACGCAATTTTATTGTGCCCTATTGTATCTTCTTAATTGCATGCGAGAGTGAGAAACAAAAATAACAGATTGAGGAAGCAAAGCAGTATAATTAGCCAAATGACGTACTTGCAATATGCACAAAAAACCTCGCGGAGACTCTTCACGGACACAATAGCATATTAGTTTGAAAACTTATGTTGCCCAATTGTTGAAAAGCACTGCAGCGAGACAGCAGTTCTGAATATGTAGCTTTGGCAGCCCTAGGGCGCAGTGTCTCGTTGCTTAGCCTGTCGCGTTCACAGTCGCCAAAGGCGAGGGAACGCCAGCCGTGCGCAAGCAAAAGCAGTCTGCATTCACAGGAGCAACTTCTACACATTCTGTGAGCTAGTTGAGCTATGAAATGCACTTGAAAAATAAGTAAACTTCTGAAGGTACGCACAAAACCACCTCAAAAAATTTAGCAATGCGTCATTGACCTGGTAATGCGCCGAACCAGAGAACACGCCGAACTAAACAGAACTAAACAGAAACCAATCGAAAAAAATTGGGTGCTCAACCACATACCAAAGACGTGAGCTTTATTGAGGTAATCTAATAATTTTTTGTAACAAATAAAATTAAGACTATTAAAAAAAAACATTTCATCAATTTTTTGTTGCCTCGCCGCGGTGGTATAGTGGCTAAGGTACTCGGCTGCTGACCCGCAGGTCGCGGGTTTGTATCCTGGCTGCGGCGGCTGCATTTCCGATGGAGGTGGAAATGTTGTAGGCCCGTGAGCTCAGATTTGGGTGCACGTTAAAGAACCCCAGGTGGTCGAAATTTCCGGAGCCCTCCACTACGGCGTCTCTAATAATCATATGGTGGTTTTGGGACGTTAAACCCCACATATAAATCAATCATTAATTTTTTGTTATCGATGTTTTTTTTCCCCCTCACCAAGTCTCGCTTCAATCGTCACGCGGTTGTTGCCTGTCGCAATAGGTTTCGAACCACGTTGCGTTCAGACTTTCGCGACCTATTTAGATTGACCTTGTTATACCCCTGTCACACGGCCACCACCAAACTCCGTTGAACACCGTCAACGTAAATCTCCCCTAGGGGGTTCGACGGAGAAGGAGTTGTGGCAGTGTCACACGGCAATGACAAGGTTGTAACAGTTGCTGCGAGGAGGCTCAGCTGGCGCTGTTTGATTTTTTGGATAAGTATTCTAATTTGATCCCTATTGATTTTTTTGTGAATCCTCGTTATGCGGTTTTAACAAAAAAAGCACTATTAAGTAGGTATGTGACTAACAAACCATTAAAAAATAATTTCAAATAAAAACGCATTTGCTAAATGTAGCAATTCTGCTAGTGACGCTGGCCACATTGTGCTTTTAGTTGTTTTGTTGCCTGTGTGCATGCCCGGTACGAAAGTTCTTATGCTTCCTTGCCTCGTGAGCGCACATTTTGTGTTCTTCAGCCATGAGTGACACAGCGGACGACGTGAGGAAGTGGTGCGATATTGCGCTGGTAATGACGTTGATCGGCTGGCGCCGGCCGGCCCGACTCGCGAGGCACGGTGTGTAGGGCATCGGTGTTGAGAGTAAGTGAACTCTGGTGGGCGTAAATATTGTAAACAAACACGCGTTGTGAATGAGTACTACAACGAAAGAACGTTTAATGTTGCTAAAATGTATTATTATTTCACTGCAACCACTTAGTGCTCGAAATTTTTCTCTGACCTCTAGACTGCTGAGGACAAGAGTACCTCGTTTCGCTGCGAAGGGAGATCGTTGAACGTCCTTTGCGAAATGCTCCGTTCACCTTCGTTTGCGTAAGGGTGGCCGTGTGACACCGATCGCATCTTCGTTGTCGTAAAGACGAGGGAGTTGAACGGTCTTCACGGGTGCCCGTGTGACAGGGGCATAAGTGGTACCGAGCCTGAAGGGCGCATGGAGCCGGGCAGCATTCTTTGTTTTTCTTCGGTTGTCTGCCTTTCTTTTTCTCTCTTCCAGTTCTTTGTCTTTTTTTACTCTCTTTAGTTCTGTTTATACTATTTTTTCCTTTTTTTGCCTCTCGCTTTCTTTCTTTAAAATTTTTATGTGGGGTTTTGCCTGTGGTACGCCAAGCGAAAAACAATATATGACTGCCTGGGCCCCTAAGGTGCTTTGCACTTAATATCATGGTCAAGGTGCTCGAAGAAAAAAACTCTACACTGCAGATGGAGATGGTTATGCTTTACACTCAAACCTCAATGTAACGAAATATCTGTTATAGAAAAGTAAATGACAAATAGTCTTGCAATAGATGCAGTGTTAGGAATAAGCTTCATAACAAATTTTCAGATAAATATTTATTTATTTATTTATTTCAAGGTACTGCAGCCTCGAAGGACTATCGCAGGAGTGCAGGCAGAATACATAAAGTTGCAATGCAATGCAAAATGTACCGAGCACGAAGATCAGCGGCTATTGATCTACAAAATGCATTCATCATGTGATAGGGATTTAACAAGGCTGGGCAATGCATTCCATACTTCACTAATGCAGAGAAAAAAAACTTTATGTAAATGAATTCGTTTGAGAGTATGTAGTTTTGCCTGCATTACGCCACGCGACTGCGACAGCATACGATTGCCTGGGCCCCTAAACTGCGCCGCGCTTAAAGAGCCTGTAAACAACCCGTGCCCAAAGAGCCTGTAAACAATTCCAAAGTTCAAAAATTGTTGTTAGAAAAAATGTGCACTTTTACTTCGTGAACATGTTGCTGCAAGAATTTTGCGAATGCGTGCTATATTAAGGAAGTTAGAGGGGCTAGAACATCGCGCTCAGCTGTTTTCAAATTTTCGTGCGGTCTCGCCACCCTTCTCTTTCAGAGGGAGGGTAAGGCGTGGCCTGTCGTCGTGGCTCCACCCACTTCAGCAGTGTGACAAGACGTCAGCGATTGACATCATCGGTGAACTCGATCAGTCGCAACGCAGTTCCGCTTGCTGCAACGCCTAGTTGTTTACTGTTCACCTGGTGCCGATGCTTCTCCACAGCCCAGTCACTCAATTTGCAGCCAACAACGATTTTCAGCAAAACTGCGTTCCAACACCCGGACATGACGTTGGCCTGATTTTTCTGGAGTTCGATTTTTCGCAAGCAGACTGTTGCACCATCTGGGAGCAGCAACACAAAACACAAATAATGCACCTAGTAGTGGGTGTGCTGATCAATAGGTGGCACAACAACCTACTCACTCCCAAAAACTGGGTCAGTGAAGTGTCCCGATTTCGATTCATGGAGCCTATAAAGAGTTTTGCAATTCATATGATTGAATAGCTCTGTCGTAGCTTTGGGTGCGAAAAGGAACTGTCGTTGACTTCACTACTGTTTGTTGAGACCTGGTTTAGACAGACCAATCAACGAGATGCGTGCTGCGTCTCGTCGGCGATTGCAGAGTTGACGTCTCTGCACATGCAAGGAGCATTGCTCAGGCGTAGGAAAGGAGCGGGGGAATCGTTTTTTGAAATGCAGGCTCTGCTCGGCACGCAGCTCTGTAGTATTCAGAAAAGGTGATTGCTGCAGTCTACTCTACGAATTACCAAACTTGTTTAGGGGGTGTAAAAAAAAAGGTCGGAGCCTGTTGAGTGGCCTTTTAAAAACTTATAACTCCAAAATTGTGGAACCTATGGAAGTTCGCAGTATGGGAACCCGGCTATTCTCGTGCTTAAGAGTTCCCACTTCCCTGTTTACCTAAGCGTTCATGATGCCTATGTTTGGTGTAGAGTTTCCCTAGCAGGGGTAGGGAAATTCGCAAAATTTGTATGTAACATGTACGTTACTGTATGCTTTGCTTTATCGACTCCCTGCTTGTTATGGAGGTTGAGATATGTGTCGTCTGCTGTAAGTTCCGTCAAGTTGTTAGCCCTGTCAGATGTGGCTGCGTGGGGACGCGGAGATGGCGTGGGGGAGGGGCATTTGCTCGCTCGGCGAGGCAGTTGCACCTTTTTTTGCACCACGCCGGAGCCAGTTCCATGTTTCCAAAACGTTTTAGCGATTGTAAGTTTAATTAAACATGGTTATTTGTTGTTTTTATTAATCATGTTATTTTAAACCTTGTTTGTTCATTTTGATCCGGGTTCGCACATTGCTAGACTTAGTTATATGGCCTGTATTGAGTGCAGGATACAAGATTGGTCTGTGTGGCAGTATTTTTGTCTGAATTTTCAAGTGAAGTGATGATATTGGTCTTTTTTTCTTCCCGCAGCCCACGTTGCAGGGTGCAGACGTAGCTCCTGTTCAACAGCCGCCAGTCGTCAACGGCAGTGTCTGGGGTGAGGGCTGCTTGTGCCGGAATCGGGGTTGTGACTGTGTTTTTTTTTTTTCTATGAAGTTGTTCTGAAATCTTGAGTAAAGGGCCTCCTCTCTGGTCAGTTGAAACAGACATGCATGGTTTTTAGTAGCTTTGTGCAAATGTTCAAATGATTTGAATATTCTAATGAATAGTACGGTTCTCGAATTCGCTTGAATTCGAATTTAAATTATTGAAAATTTCTAAGTATGTGCAGTGAACAAATAAGTGCAATTTAGTCAGCATGTAATCCTCTGTAAAGGTGGTTTCACTGTAGTAGAGGGATGATAAATCATGAAAACAACTACTCAGAAAAAATGTGCACTGCTTCAGAGCCCCACTTTAAGGTTGAATGAACATATTACAGTAGAATCTCGATACGAATCTTGCGGGGTCACAAAAAATATTTGTAATAGCCAAAATTTGTATTATCGGAACACATGCAAAACTAGCTAAATTAACACAGAGTCGGAGGCAAACTCATTTTCGGCACTCGAAAAAAAAAATTATTTTTTGGAGAAAAAATTTCTGATGTCTTTCCGCTTCATTTTTTTGTCAAGTCACTCGGCAGACTTATCTGGAATCCGTAAAAACGCGTGCACGTGTCATCACTGATTCCTTCAGCAGCCATAGCACGCCTCAGGACGTCGAGCGCGTGCAGAGTTTCAGCCGCCGGTAGTGGTCCTTCGCCGTCGCACTTGTCCATTTCCTCGTCATCGTCGCTGGAAACGGCAACCTCACACGTGGCCTCGTTTACAATATCTTCCAACGTGTGCCCACCACAAATGGCAATATTGTTATCCACCGCGCAAAAGTCGTCAGCTGAACGCCCAGCTTCAAAACATTCCCAACCCTCAAAGGGCTCCTCCAACTCTGAAAAGGCCTCTGGCACCTCTTCGGGAATCCTAAAGAAGCCGCATTTACCAAAGCAGTTCGCAATGGTAGTCGGCGTTACTCTATCCGAAGCCATTCAGATAAAATGGATGGCGTCCAAAAGGCTTATTCTCATGCCACCTGAGAATAAGAATCAGGCTTACCGTAATTACTCGAATTTAACGCGCACCTTTTTCCGGTTAAGCGAGTTAATAAATCGCATGCGCGTTTGAATCGAGTACGAAAAAAAAATTACGGTCAATCTATTGCCATCGACAAATCCAAAATGGCCGCCCCCTACGTGCGTTGACATGGCGCGTCGGCCATTTCTGCCTATGTGTTTCCCATGTGCGGCACTTCGTACGTGTGCTGAGGAGTTCGTCATCTAGTAGTGCATTAGCATCGACGGCGTGGAAGGGCTGACTCCGAAAACTCGAGTGCACCACGATGCCGCTTTTAAAAGAAAAGTCATCGCGTGTGCAGAAACGGACGGAAATCGGGCCGCATCGCGGTCGTTCGGAGTTCCCGAAACGTTCATGCGGGACCGGCGGAAACAAAAGCAAAAGATTGTCGACAGCAAAGCTTCACGCAAAGGCTTCAGTGGACCACAGCAGGGCCGGTTTCCGCAAATTAAAGAGCTGCTCGGCGAGTTATGTGCTTGAGCAGCGAGCGGTACAGCGGCCCGTGACGACAGAACTGCTCCAAGTGCGGGCTATGCAATTAGTCTTAGAAAAAGGTCTAATGTGGAGCCAGTTTAAAGCGAGCAGGTGCTGGCTAACTAACTTTATGAAGAGGAAAGGCTTTTCCGTCCGAAGGGGAACATGCATATGCGAAAAGTTTTGCGGAGGAATACGATGAAAAGCTTCACAGTTTTCAGAGGTTCGTCCTAAACTTCTACCTGCTTTGGCAAATCGGGAATGCCGATCAGACACCTCTTTACTTCGACATGCCTGGCACCACAACTGTCGAGAAGAAGGGTGCGAAGCAAGTTCATGTGCTGACATCGGTCCACGGTAAAACTACAGTGACGGCAATGATCTGTTACATGTCAGATGAGCACAAGCTTCGCCCGTACCTCATATTTAAATGGCAGACGCTCACGAAAGCGGTCGTTTTTTCGAGTGGTGTGATCGTGCGGGCCAGGGAGAAAAATGGGTGCGCGTTGCAATCGATGTCTTACGTTTTTTTTGTTTTTTTTTTCGCGGTGGAAATCGGGTGCGCGTTACAATCGAGGGTGCGGTAGAATCGAGTAAATACGGTATTCTCAGGCCATCCTCATCGACCTTTCGAAGAATGTCCAGTTCCTCCTTAAAGGGGAGAGCCTTCCGTTTGCGAGACATGGCTTGCTGAGACTCCGCAAAAAGGTACAACAAAGCAAATGCGTGTGCTCGACTGGGCAAGACTGTCGACAGCCTCTGCACTACATTAACTAGGTGTCCGCACCAGAGAGCACCCACCACCAAGCAAACAAAGATACCGCCACCAAGCCGTAATACTTAATGAACAAAAAACTAGATTTATTTTTTATTTTCCTTAAAATAGTGAGGTTGAGTACTCATATTTTGCAGTAAAGGGTTTAATTTTCACTCGTGCCTTGACTTTAGCCACCAATCAGATAACCTCCTTCTAGTTAATTCTACCCGCTTAAAGCCAATTTTGCCCTCCTTGTCCCTAAACCCCAGTGCTTTGAAAAACTCTGCGCCATCATCCTGAACTATAGGGTGAAGCCCTTTACAAAACATTATCAAGTGTTCAGTTTCTTCTTCCTCTTTACACGCACTGCATATCGTGTCTACCCCTTCGTATTTGGCCCGATATGTCTTGGTTCGCAATACTCCCGGCCTGGCCTCAAACAGTAGACAACTACCCCGAGTATTATCATAGATCCTTCTCCACCGTTGCCAGCTACATCTGGAGCCTTCAAGAGAAAGCAAAAGGCACACTCCGGCATTCGAGATCGCGCAGATCTTCGAGTCTGTCGCCCGCCGCTCGCAGGCGGCGTTGACAACGTGCCAAAATGGTGGCGCAGCACGCATTTCAGCGCGTGCATGCACGCTGCTTGCTTTCACGGCCGTCAATGGGGTGGCGTTTATTCGTATCAAACAACTCTGGTAAAAAATCAGTTCGTAACAACCGTACTCTAGCACATAGTAAATTAATGTGCCTCGGCCGAGATCACAGAAAAATTCGTATCGCCCCGAACTTCGTATCAGCCGTGATCGTATCGTCGAGATTCTACTGTATCCTCAAATCGATTCATCATTTTTTTTTTTTTGAAGTGTAAAAGTTTGTTATACAGGCTTATATGGTCTAAGTTTAGTTAATTTGGAAATGTTACATATTTTATAGAATATCGCTAGCATTCTACTGAAAGTCAAATGCTGCTACTATTCAAAGTTGTTTCTGCTTCCTATGAACAAAAGAAATTGCATTTATACAGAGGCCTTGTTTTGATTTAAATAAAATGTTTTGCATGTTAGTTGTGTTATGACAAATTTCACCTTTTTTATATGCATATATACTATTCAAATCCAATTTGAAATTATTCGATCAAGTCATTATTCGCTTTGAATTGGCTGTAAACCTAAAATTTACCAATCGCACAAGCCTAGTTTTTAAGCCTTGCATGGCCAAACAGGTCTGCAGTGTGTCGTGGCCTAGGCAAACGGAGAAGCCAACGAAGAAGCACAGGACGCGGAAACCACATCGATTGGGGATGAGAGTGTGGTCGTCGCTATCACCCTGGCCATAGATGATGTCTGCACGGTTTTGAAGGCATGTTCTTGGCCATTATGTGAAGAGCCAAAACTGAGCTACATTTGCTGCGACTGCTGCAAATGAAACCTGGGTGACTTAGGTTGCTAACAGTGGAATCGTGGATGGCGACCAAAATCTGAAGAGATGCAGTCGACCCACACTGATGTTTAATGAAACGTCTTTGTGCTGCATTCATCGCCCACAAAATTGGGGTCGTCATTTATGTAGTAATCGTAGATATAGTGTTCGTATGGTCCTGAATGTGTGGGTGCCACGTTGACTTGGGCAACTACTTTGTGCAGCTAGGCGAAGTGAGAGCTAGTGGTCATTGGGCATGGATACAGAGGCCTTATCGACCTCTCACCAGTGTTTCTGAAATCTTCACCAGACGAATTCTAATCTTGGGCGGGCTGTAACAGCTTAGGAGGAAGAGAAAAATGCTGGCCGATGGCTGTGTTGTAAAAGATTAATACGTCTGCTCCCACAAGGTAGCTTTGTTCTCTTCAGAGTGAGTGGACAAGGCTTCTGTGTGTAAGCGTGAACTTTAGTTTTCGACACTACCATTTTGTTTGTCATTTTTTTTTCTCTCTCTTTTTTAAGTGTTACCTATTGCACACACATAATACAGCCGAGCCTGCTTATAACGAACCTGAGCATTACGCGGCATCCGTTCGCTGTATCCCGAAGTTCATAGTAAATGAAACACAGCTTTAAAAAAAAGTTGTGAGAGAAAACAAACTTTTTTGCCCCAAAAAGTCCATGATGCACATGTTTCGAAGAGCAGAATTGATTAGGGCGGTCTTGAGTTCATTTAAAACGGCAGGCTGCTCATCCGCCGAGGCCCGTGGCATAAGCTGCATGAGGCGCTGGCTCCAAAGCTTCGTAGTTCTCACAATCCGATTCCTCCAAATCGCTCTCGCCACGTACTTCATTCATAATGCCCCAATTCATGCAGAGTTCCGCAGTGTCAGTATCATCGGTCGTAATTAAACCACCGCAACAGATGTCCCACCCGCTCTCCCAGGTCGGAGCCTGGGAGAGCGGGTGAAAACCTGGAATCGCCGCCACAGTGGTCCTGTTCGAAAGCTTCGGGCTCGGCATCGGGCCCGACGATCGACGAAGTTGGCTTCGCGAAAATAGTTTCGCGCACATGTAGCCGTCACCGCCACCCATGATATATTCACCATCTCTACAGCTGAATACCGGGACGCCCGAAGCTGCAAGTTAGCTGTCAGGTGGTCAACAGCTATGAGCAAGCGCTCCGCAACGCGGCACCTAACGCGCGGATTACGCTCAAGCCAAGCTGTCACACTTCAGACGTTTTTTTGACCGGCACGAGAAAGCGTGCTAGTA